CTAATTCTATAATTTTCATTCTAACAGCAGCCCCACAACCCATAATGAACAGTTTGCCCCTCTTCCCTGAGGATTATAACAATGGTCAAATTTTGTTCCCAAGAGCTCTGAGAGAGTTCTTCCAGATCTGTAAATAGATTCAAAGCTGTAAAACAAAACTGCTATTAGCTTCAAAATTGAATTACCTACATACATACCTCTCACTTCAATAAATAATGTTACCTATGTAGACTGATTCACTGGGGGTTATTATTTAAAGAGAAAATTATTTGGCAACATTTTTCATTCTAGCTCATAGCATGGTCCACAATCTGTGATAAATGGAAAGTAGTGAGTGACGAACAGTGTGAGTAGTGAAAGAAAAGATAAAGTTGAAATACTGTTATTATTATTATTAGGAATTCATAATTTATGATTCCATATTTAAAGAAACTGAGCTTTGCCTGGAAGCTGGAATTTGACTACTCTGATTCATTAATATAGAAAAGTGAAATACTAGATTGACATAATACTCTCGGGGGAAATAACGATGATCATACCTTTATTTTTTTTTTCTTCTTCCTTCCTGTTTCAGCATGTGATTTATGTGAGCTGCCCTAGAAAAGGCTTGTTTATTTTCTGCCTGACACATTATTTCCATTATTTTCTTAAGGCCCAGATCCAAAACATTCTTACAGATACCTTCATTTAGGTATTGCAATGCACAAAAATAAGCACCTTGTCTCAGGAGGATGATCCAAATCAACAGGGTTAGATACTTGGGCTGCCTGTACAGTGAACTAGGAGAATCTAGTCCCCTCCAAAGGGTGATCCAAGCCACCTAAGTGCTAAGCAGGGAGGCAGTCAGAACTAGCTATCAGAAGTGTTGGTTCACAAACAAGCACCTGAACTCCTGCTCCAAGCTAGGGCTGACTCAGGACTCCCCTTTAGGCACCTGTGTCACCTTGGAATTCAGAGTGCCCATGGGGAGCACTCTGAACTGATCCATACTGCCAACACTGAGTTCAGTACAAAGCACAGCAACCTGTAACCACCAGGAGAACTTCAAAAAAACTTAGAAATCATCTCCTTCACATAACCTACTCCAGAAGAGGGCAACTCAGGAAGGAAATGGACACATGCTGCAACAACTTAAAAGAGATAAATCCAGATATCTTCCCAAACATCATACAATGTGTACAAAGAGACTATCAAAGATTTTTTACAACATCCATCCAACATAAAAAGAAGAAATGTAGCCAATTACTACAGGGACAACTTTCCCAGCCACAAAACAACCATCAGAGAAACAACACCAATACCTCACAACATTCCAACCTCATACTCAATGAAACTGAAAGAACCAATCAACCCTCAAATATTATATCAATCTCTCCATACACACACTTACCAAAACTGAAAAATCTGTCCTCTCTAAAGGCGTTAATTTCTGTCCAGAAAAATACCCTAATAATATACTACAATATGGAGAGCTAGAATAATTTTTCTGACACCTCCATCTCAAGGAATAGTTCCACAACCAAAATTAATCCACTTCAAACAACACTTCATCCTTTGACAACATCAAGGAAAAGATTAGCCTCCCCAAAACAAAAAACATCAGATTGAAAACCTCATAGTGGATGAAATTCAAACCTTGACCTCCATAGTGACTGCTTCAGACACAGAATGAACAGTGAAATAATAAACAACAAATGGCACCATAACAACCTTTCCCTCTCAGAGAGAAGGGCCATAGAATCTCTAAGATTACCAAATAGTAATAAAACCAGCAGATAAAGGAGGAGCTATGGTTATCCTTAACTGTGAAGATGACATAAAAGAAGCCGATAGAAAGCTCTCTGACACCACCTATTACAAAAACTAAAGGACAATTCAACTCCCCTTTTCACCTTAAAACTCAAAACCACCATCACATCATTTCCATCTGAACTACAAGAAAAACTACAGAACTTGATCCATTTACCCAACCCAGGTACTTTTTACATGCTCCCTAAAATCCACAGACAAGGGAACCCAGGCAGACCTATAATATTCAACCATAGAACCCTAACTGAGGAAGTATCAGGTTTCATTGAATCCATCCTAAAACCTCTTGTTACTCAAACAGCAAGTTTTGTCCAAGTAACAATAGACCTTCTACAAAAACTTAAAAACATAGACCACCTGCCCAGCAACAGCCCCCTAGCCACCATGGATGTTACCAGCTTATACATCCCACATCAGGATGGCATCAAAGCTTGCCATACATATCTACAAGGGTAAGATTACAACTCAGAGTATAGACCTAAAAATATTACTGAATGTATACACTTCATCCTCACACACAACTTCACTTTCAATAACCAATACTTCCTCCCGACCACGGGCACAGCTATGGGCACCAAAATGGTCCCACAATATCCCAACCTTTTTATGGCCCATCTGGAAGAAAAATTCCTCAAGAACTGCACCCTCCAACCCATACTATACTTATGATATATAGATGACATCATCATTTGGACCAATAACCTGCAATCTCCAATTGATTTCCATCACAAATTCAGTAATCATTACCACTCCATAAGACTATCTCCTGAATACTCCAGCACCAATATTTCCTTTTTAGACACTATGATCAATATCCAGAATGGTAAAATACAAACCACCATATTCAAGAAACCCACAGAACAATATACGTATCTGCACAGGATCAGCAATCATCCTAAACACACCAAGAAAAAGTCCTCCGATATCACCAAATTTGCACTGAGGAGAACACCCGTGATCATCACATCACAAATCTCAAAAGGCCTTTCACTCAGCAAGGACACTCCTCCAGAGAGAGAGAACACATTTTTGAAAGAGCCACCCAGATACCACATGCAGAATTGTTGCAGTTCAAAAAGAAAACCCCCATGAATTGCATACCATTAGTTATGACATACCATCCCTCCCTGGAACCTACACAGAAAATTCTCTAACAATTGCAAGACCCAGTTCTTAAAGAGATCTTCCCAGAACCATCCACCCTAGCCTTTAAACCAAACCCTGCCAATCTCGTCACCAGAAACAAACTTCCTATGGCCCAAAGCACACCGAATAGACCATGCTGGGACAAGAAATGTAAACCCTGCCAACATATCTCTACCACTTCTACAATAATTACACCCCATAATAGAACCATCACCATTCCTAGATCTTACACCTGCACCTCCAGAAAAGTAATATATCTCATCCAATGCACTAAATGCCCTGATGGAAAATATGCAGGAGAAATCAAACAACTGCATACTGGAATGAACACACACCAAAAATCTATCAAAGACAAAAATTCCCAATTACCTGTGGGTGCCCACTTCTCACAAGACAACTACTCTCTCTCCAATTTCTCAGTTCTAATCCTCAAAGGGAATTTACAAAACACCTTTTGTTGATGAGCCTTCTGAACTTCACTTCATAAATCTACTGAATACAAAAAATCATGGACTAAAAATAGATATTATTTATGGCACATCCGATAACCCCAGGTAACCTCTCTGTGTTTTACCAGCTACATTCTATCAGCAGCTCAATATTTCCCTTTCCCCACACCATCTGTCTCACATCTATTATTTCCCATAGCCTCTGATCCTCACTGCCACGCATTTGTGTTTTCATAGACCAGCATTTTGCATATTGGCTTCTATTCCATCCAGGAGAACACAAAACAACAACAGACTCTCCCTATACCTGAAGAAGGGTGTGCGCCCAAAAGCTTGCAAAGAACAAATTTTCCAACTATTTAGTTGGTCTAATAAAAGATATCACATTTGCCCAAAGAACCTTTTCTGCCTGTGACCACCAAAGCACTCCAAACCCATTTTCACTTACAAGCACTGCTGGTGGTAGTAATGTTCATCTTATGCACTGTAGTCTATTGTAATGAGCCAAGGCCCAGTTAAGAGAACTGAATGGGCAACAGATCACCTTATGCCTCTGGCCTGCTTGAAACTCCTAAACTCTGTGCTCTGAGCCTCTGGCTTGTGATTCCCTTTTCTGAACCTCTGGCTTGGACCCTCCTGCATATTCCTGATTCCTTCTATTCGTGTCTTGGACCTTCCAACTTGGATCAATTGCTTTCCCTGACCACAACCTTGTCTTGAACTTCATATTGATATCCTGGACTCAGACAGATACCTAACTTGACCCTGGTTTACCTTTTGGTAATCCTCTGGCCTAGTGTGCTCCATTCAGAATGACCCTAGTCATCCCCTTACATTTAGGGTACCTACAGACATTAGGCAGCCGCGCTCTAACTCATGGCACTTTATAGAAAGTGCCATGAGTTAGAGCCCTCCCCTCAACCCCCCAACAGTTATTCACCTGTTGGATTCGAGGGAATCAAGCCTGCCTCCACTGGTCCCAGCCAGGAAGTGGGGGCGCTCCAGCAGCCTCTAAAACACCCCTCTCCCCAGTCCTGCCCCAGGCTCCGGGGCTGTCAACAGGGGAAGTAGAGGGAAGGAAGCAGCACAGAGCTGCCAGCTGAGCTTTGCCTGGCCAGAGGTGGGGGGGGCGGGGACAGGGTGGAACAGAACCCCCTTGACTCTCAGTTCTCATTCCCCCCACCCCCCCAGCTACCCTGGCTGGAGTATTGTGGGGAGCTGAGCTGGGCCCATGAGATGAGTGAGTTCTGTTCCACATCCATCCTCTCTCCAGCTCGCGCTGGACAAAGTAGCTGGTACCTGTTGCTGCTGCACTCAGGAGGCTTGGCTGGAGCTGAGGGGGAGGGGCAGGGTGGAATGGAGCCCTCTCACACCACTGGCCCAGCCTAGCTTCCCCCAATACCCCAGCTGGAGTAGCAGGAGGGGGGGCATGAAGCAAGGGGGCTCCATTCTACCCCACCCTCCCTCTCCAGCTCCAGCTGGGCAAAGCCCAGCCAGCAGCTCTGTGCTCCTCCCTACCCCCTCCCTCCACCACTGACAGCCTTGCCCCCATGCAAAAAATTTACCCTGTTCCCTAAGGCACTCTGCCTTTATCTAACACCTGATTTGATGAGGGTTATTTTCTTGCATGTTCAGTCATTTTAAAAGCACTCTGCAGCCATCCACATGTGACATGTCATGGCTGTAGAGTGCTTTCAGAGGCCCGATTGCATGAAAAATGCTACTTGCATAACCACCCTTAGTGACCCAAGATTCTTTCCTCCCAGGAGTCTGCTTTCCCCACTGGACAAGTCAGAAAAAGGGATGTGATTAGCAAAAACTGCATTATGCAGTGAGCTTCCCTACATCTCAGCATTCTGAAACTGTAGGCAGAAAAGAAGAATCATGCATCTCAGAACTGAGAGAGATGCTGCATTGCAGAAGAAAGACTCCCCAAATGGGAATCTGTTATGAGCACAGGCTTCCTACTGCACTCCTTGTGCTTAAAAATATATTCTGTAAAACAGGGAAGGATACCTTACTATTTTTGACAGACAGATCCCTATCAGCTAGCAGAGTCAGAATCCACAGACTGAGAATTGAGAAGGCACAATCTGGTCATAGAACTCCAAGAAAGAACTCCTGGATTCCATCAGAAGAGGAATATTCCATTACTTATGTAATAAAGGGAACATTAAGTGCTAAAATGGATTATTTACATAGATATTTTGACAGCAAATTACAGAATCATAGAAAATTAGGGTTGGAAGGGACCTCAGAAGGTCATTTAGTCCAGCCCCCTGCTCAAAGCAGTACCATCCCCAACTAGATCATCCCAGCCAAAGCTTTGTCTAGCCGGGTCTTAAAAACTTCCAAGGATGGAGATTCCACCACCTCTCTGGGTAACCTGTCCCAGTGTTTTACTACTCTCCTAGTGAGAAAATTCTTCTTAATATCTAACCTAAACTTCCTTTGATGCAACTTGAGACCATTGCTCATTGTTCTGTCATCTGCCACCACTAAGAATAGTCTAGCTCCATCCTCTTTGAAATCACCCTGCATGCTGGTGAAGGCTGATATTAAATCCCCTCTCAGTCTTCTCTTCTCTAGACTAAATAAGCCAAGTTCCCTCAGTCTGTCCTCAGCAGTCATGTGTCCCAGCCCCCAAACCATTTTTGCTGTCCTCCACTGGACTTTCTCCAGTATGTCCACATCCTTTCTGTCATGAGGGGCCCAAAACTGAACACAGTACTCTGGATGTGGCTTCACCAGTGCTGAACAGAGAGGAATAATCACTTCCCTTGACCTGCTGGCAACACTCCTACCAATGCAGTCCAGTATGCCATTAGCCTTCTTTGCAACAGGTATACTGTTGGCTCATATTCAGCTTATTGTCCACTGTAACCCACAGGTCCTTTTATGCAGAGCTGCTGCTTAGCCAGTCATCCCCCAGTTTGTACTGGTGCATGGGATTGTTCTGTCCTAAGTGCACTTGTTCTTATTGAACCTCATGAGATTTCTTTTGGCCCAATCCTCCAATTTGTCTAGGTCACTTTGAATCCTAACCCTACCCCCCAGCATATCTACTACTCCCCCGTCACTTGGTGTCATCTACAAACTTGCTGAGGGTGCACTCTATGCCATCTTCCAGGTTGTTGATGAAGACATTGAACAAAACCACCCCAGAGCCAACCCCTGGGGCACTCCACTTGATACCAGCTGCCAACTAGATATCAAGTCATTGATTATTACCCTCTGAGCCCAATGCTTCAGCCAGTCTTCTATCCACCTTACAGTCCATTCATCCAAACCATATTTCCTTAGCTTGCCTGTGAGACTGCTGTGGGAGACCGTATCAAAAGCCTTGCTAAAATCAAGGTATACCACACAGGCTGGTCTCCCCATGTCCACAAAGCCAGTCATCTCATCAGCGAAGGCTATCAGGTTGGTCAGGCATGACTTGCCCTTGGTGAATCCATGCTGGCTGTTCATAATCAGCATCTTCTCTTCCAAGTGCTTAGAAAGGGATTCCTTGAGGATCTGCTCCATGATTTTTCCAGGGGCTGAGGTGAAGCTGACTGGTCTGTAGTTCCCCAGATCCTCCTTTTTCTCTTTCTTAAATATGGGCACTATGTTTGTCCTTTCCCAACTATCTGGAACCTCTCCTGATTGCCATGCATCTTCAAAGATGATGGCCAGTGGCTCTGCAATCTCATCAACCAACTCCTTCAGCACCCTTGGGTAAATCCCATCCAGCCCCATGGGCTTGTATATGTCCAGCTTTTCTAAATAGTTCCTAACCTGTTCTTTTGCCACTGTTTGCTGCTTACCTCTCCCTCAAACAGTGCTGCCCGGTGTAGTATTCTGGGAGCTGACCTTGCCTGTGAAGACCGAGATGAGAAATTATGTTCTATAGTCGGTCAAAAAGAATGCTTTACCTGAACAAGCTTGAGATTCCAAGGTGGATGATTAATCAATCCTGCTTCTTCAACCTGATTAGTTACTGCAGCTTGCAATTCAACATATGTATTACTATCTAACTGCAATCCTGGAAAGAGGTCATTTATAAGACTCAGAAATAAGGGTTCATCTTCATCTACCTGAAATGGTAAAATGTATATATTTTTAAAGGAAGGCTATGCAAAGTATAGTTTTCTTAAATCAAAATGAACCTTTATGTTAAAACAATGGGCATTAATCAATTTAGGAATAGAGTTTCAAAAGATATACTGATGGTGAAATGCAGACTTCAAAAAAACAAGTTGCCTCATTTTAAGTAGATGCAAACAATCATTTCTGTATATCCAATTATGAGAATTCCAGAGTTGTAACTATGGAGATGTATGCATTCTTGAGCACATTGACAGTGGAAAGCAATCTGGTTAAGTGACCTTTCAGGTTACTCTGTTCATATGCACCATGCTTATCTCTCCATACACACTGAAATTAAAAAGTTCAATACTAAACTGCCCAGGAACATTATTACTATTACTTTGTTTATAACCTCTAGAATCATAAGGATTTTCAAGTTTTAGAAACACATACTGCTTATTAAGCATTATCTACATGCCAAGTTTGATTTTTTCAAATGAGATTTAGAATTCCCTGAGTTTAAAAAACATCTGAAAGAACTATGAGACATCTAGCAGGCTCACCTATACAATGTATGGAAATACTGAACTCACCAGTTTAGAGAGGTTCATATCCCTTAGCCCTCTCATAACAGTACTTAATTCACTGTCATCTGGTCTGGCCCTTTTTTGAGCTCCAAGAGTCCTCAACACTGAAAGGATATTTCTCAGACCGAAGTCATAATGAACCTAAAATGGAACACCCCCCCCAAAAAAAAACAGCTTACATGTCAATAATGGCAGGTTTTCAGTAAGTCAACACTCAGTTGTGTGCTGATCCACACAGGACTACAACAACTGGCCAACAAAAGGCACAAAAACTATGGCCTTAGGCCCCTGTTACATATTACAGTGTGAGCTGTGCTAGCTCAAGTTAGGGGCAGTAACATGTTCAGGCCACTAGGGGTCTAGAGGACTGAAATGTAAGAATCCCCCCCCCTCCCCCCCCCCCATCCATTTTGGAACTCCCCCCTTATCTGCTAGGCTTTGCCCCCTGCCCAAGGTTCCCCCTGCCCCAGGGGCTCCAAACTGAAAATGATTGTTGCTCAAGTGCTTTATATTCTTTTTGGAGAGAATATTTGTTTGAAATTACCAATACAGTTTCAATTTTTTGCCAAAAACAGAAATCTCATTGTAAGGGAGAGCTGCAAGGAGCAAAGTCTACAGGAAAAACAGTACTGAAAATCCTATAAGATAAAAAAAAAAAAAAGATAATACCCTTACCTGCTTGGTGAGCTGCTCCTCACAAAGTTTGTAAAGAACAAAGAATTTCTGAGCCAAAACCACATTATCAATAAATCCACAACTTGCAAGCTTAACTCGCATAATTATCTGAAATATAATACAGTTTTAAGATTTATATTAGCCTTCTTGAAATGTGAAAAGGAGGAAAGACAGGGGAAGTGGCCTAATTTTAAGAGGTATCAACATTTTTTTAAATGTAGCTCCGTTAAATATAGTATCACTTTCGTATATTAATGAATTTTACCTGCCTATCTGGTACCATCATGGAAACAGTTCTAAATTGAATTTTTAGATTTTCAGGTAATTCCTGGCGTCCAGCATATCCAGGATTCTATAAATAAAAGTATATTACAATATTATAATACACAAAGTACATTCTTTTCATTCTCTAGAACAGTTATGCAACAAATGTGAAAAATGGCTTACATAACCATGGGCTGATTCAGTTCACTGTACATTAGGAGAGTGAAATAAAAAACAGGTCTTTTGTTTAATAATTAGTAAATGCTGTGAGTAAAATGTCAATAAATAGCTATAAATATAGCTGCTTATAAAACACTGCTGAAAAGGCATTTTCATAATAAGTGTTTCATTGATTATCATTTTATGGAATAAAGTATCTATTTGGGTCAATTTTTCCTGATAATTTTCACCTCAAGAATTTAGAAGTGAAAATACTTAGATTGTATATAGTGAAATATCAACATTAGGGTATTCAGTGATGGACTACTCATATAGAACTCGGATGGCCAACCCACAACTTGTGAGCCACAAGTGGCATGGACAGCTGCTATGTGTGCTACATGAGCCTTAGCTGCTCAGTAAAGGGAAGTACCAAAATGGAGACATGAAGCAGAGTGCTCCCTGGAGTGGAGTAGGGGCAGAACACTACAATAAGAGGTATCACTGCCAAGAGACAGGTTATTCCTTTCCTGTCCCTGCAGCAGCCACCAAATTCAGGACTTTGCATCCTCACCTGCCATATAAAACTGCAGGGTCAGGGTAAGCTTAACTTGGCTTCTGGCAGTGACATGACTTCTTGCAGCAGCAGTCTGTCCCTGCTCTATTCCACGTGGCCATAGCCAGAGGATCGAGCTCCCCTGCCTCCATTCCAGTACCCCAGGATGCAAACTATCAGCTACATCTGGTAGGGGAAGATCACAGTGACATTTAGGGGAAGTAGGAGGACTTGTGGCATAACTGACAGAGGTTGATCACCACTGAAACAGGATGTCTGGAATCATATTCCTTTAAAGCAGAAGTAGAAATACCAGTCAGACCCATCTTAACTTCTAAACTGATGCTATCAAGACTATTACTGCAGGCTCTTGCTTCAGTTTCCTTAAAACCTTAAGTGTCTACAGGATTTATAGGAACATATACCCCACCCAGGAGGTTCAAAGAATGAGGAATGTCTCTGAGTACACTCTAGCAGTCATCATCCACACACAGCTTAAAGGAAAAGTTACAACACTTTGGCTGTGTCCATACGTGGTGTGGACGTTTGGTTCCCAAGGGACAACTAGCAGCACCACGCCTTTCGCCACCGCTACTTGTCCCCAGGGAACACCTGTGCTATTCACACTTTGGCATGTGGCAAGTTACCCAGGGTGGGGTAGGGGAGGCTGGGGCCAGCACTGGGCTGTCCCCACCAGCCTTACCTGGGGTCCTCCTGGGGCTGCAGCAGTGGCGATTCTGCCATGCAGAGCCTGACTGGCAACTGCAGTGTGGCTCTGGGAGGCCCAGCTCTGCTTTTGAGTGGTGTGAACTGCACGTCTGTGCATTGCTCCACTTGTTTTCTCCACGGGTTTTTTTGACCCCTGGCTATCCAGGGGTCAAAAAACCCTCTGTGCTGCTCCTTAGCAGCACAGATAACAACTGAACATGTAGTATTTGTGGACATACTGCATGACTGCACTCGCCTAGACGTGGCCTTTGAGTTTAGTTGCGGTAAATAAGACTGTCTCCGTGTTCCCAGTGGTGTAAGTTCCTCGGTTAATGAATCAACTTTAGTAACTTGCCTTCATCTTACCCTGAAGATTTAGTAAGAAAAAACAAAAAGGAGGAGGGCCTTCCCACCTTTTATGTTTGCATTTTTCAAGGATCCAAGCAAAATGGAATATGACTGTATTTAAGCACCTAAGTACCAAGTAGGTGCCTTAGATGTGAAGTAGGATTTAAGCCTTGATGTCCTTAAAGCTTTCTTGCAGCAGGATGCACAAGAGATCCAGTTATGGGATGAATATAAAAATACTCAATTCCATCCTTGCAAGTTTTCAGGAGCAGGTTAGACAGACACTTAGCTGGGATAGTTTAGTTAGTGATGATCCTGCCTTGAGCAGAGCGGTTGACTAGATGACCTTATAAGATCCCTTCCAGCCCTACTTCTCTATTATGCTAATTCCTGAAGAGGATATCTGGTAATCTGTATCTTTTTCAAAGTTAGTGCAACAGATACTGGTATCTGCCACAAAACCTTTACAATCTCTAACAATCCTTCATTAATTAGCACAGAGATGCAAAATATCTAACAGTCTGAAATCTATCTAGCTGCATCTCGACTGACATTTCTAATGTCTTGAGCCAGGACTTGAAGAGTATTTTAATTATAGGGTGTAATAGAGAAATAAAAGTTGATTGTACTAAATATTACTAACAAAATGGCAGCAAGAGTGAATCGAGTAGACTAATGGTGTTCTTCATTAGCAATTTGTAAATAATGGTCAGTAATAACCACCTAGATTGTTGATATTGTTGAATATTCAAGATCTGGCCCTTGAGGAGGCAAACAAAACATGCTTTCTGGGACACTGAAGACCTCATGGTGTATAGGAATAGGAAGAGGAATCCATAAGCAGAATAGTGTCTGTTAAATATCAGGATACCTTTTCTTATATCTTCTTTGTCTAATGGACTACCTCAGGCCCTGAAATCCATGTGAGAGGCAAAACAGTTATGTGAGTAAGATCTAAGCATATGTGGGTAAACCCTTCTCCACTGAAGCCTGAAACAAATAAGAAGCAGTAACTACAGCGCATTAACTACAGTGCATTAATGCACACATAGATGTGCCCTGTTATAACTAAAGATGCATCTACTACCAAAGACAATAGTGGCGACTAGAAAAAAACAGATACTCTTAAAGTTCTCAGTATCGTGAATCTCAGTGCCCGAGATGGTCAATGCGAGCAATGATTTTGAGGTCAAATATGCTGGAGTAGTAAGTGCTGATGTTGGTATCAGTCACATAAGTACTGCTATATGAGCCCTGACATCAGTCCTGAGAGACTTGTAGGCAATATTGTCTTGAAGGAGCCAGAGACCAAAGGAGAATGCACATAGGCCAGCACCAAAGTACAAAGTCCAGAGTTTTTATGGGTGCCAGAGATACTGATTCAGGCCTTGTACTACTCTTGACTATGGAGAAAAGGTGATAATCTCTACCTTTTTTTGTTACTAGGTTCCTCAGAGGAAGTCAGTCCTTGTTCTCTTTAGTGGTGAAGTGCCCTAGGTCTAGTAGCTGATGATGGAGACTGGATAACAAGTGCACTCAAAAGAACAACAGGAACAGCAGCCCAGGATCAGAAGCAGAATTCATGGGACCTCTTCTGCAAGAATACTGCTCAGATCTGGTTAGATTGTGTCCAAATTATAAGCAGGCCTCAAATTTGAGAAAAAATAACATCCATACAAACCATGAACACAAAGTGAAACATATGTCCATAAAATGTCATTCCCCACAGTAAAACTGATATCTCATATAACAATCACTGAATGGGGGAGATGCTTCACATGAGGGGTATTAGTTAAACCTTGATCATTTCTGCCTTGAGGGGTATTATTCAAACCTTGAAAATCACCAGGGTGGAAGTCTGATACTAAGCAAAACCAAAAAGCAGAGTAAAAACTTATCTGTAGCAGAAACCTAGTAAAACTGTACTAATTCCTACAACTATTCTTCAATGATAATATGTACAGTGTACAAACCCATCACTTTGTAGGTACTACAAGGTAACTAGTAATGCTTTCAAGCTTATAAATGTAGATATATAATGCAAGAAGTGAAGCTGCTGTTAACTTTCACAGATAGGTGGTAAGAAGAAGCAAAAAAAAGTCATTTGGTTTCAGTATGCCCCTTATTGTCTCAGGGAGCAAGAGAAGATGGGAAAAGCATGGACTAAGAGAATCTGATCTCAGATGTAAGGGGGGAAAGTACAATAAAGCTGATTATATGTTGGACAAGCAGTGAAACAATAATGTATTACAAATATTCAAAATCTGTATAGAATCTAAAATTAGGACAACTCTGCACTTTTCAGAATCTTTGACAGTCTTGTTAGAATCCTATTTGTTCATGAAATAATGAATAGAAAGAACTATTAAGAACTTAATACATTATTTGCATGTTATGATTCTTTATTTAGAAACAGAGGTGTAACTAGCTATTTTAGAGCCCTGGGTAAAGCAGGAGTGTGGGTGTATCTTGCTGAGTATGGTAAGGAGTGGGTGAGGGAGAAGAGTTTTACTTGCCATGGCACAGGCACTCTGCTTTCTGGCTGCTGCTGTGGCTGCAGGACAGGCTCCCCACGTACAAGCTGCAGCAGCCTCTGTGTTTCAGGTCCCCTAGGAGCTGCCATTCTGGCATCCCCTCTAAATTGGCACCCAGGGTTAGTGCCCTGCTAGTCCACCCCTAGTTACGCTACCATCCAGAAGGATGTTGTACTGATTTGGACAGAATTGTTGGGCTTTATTTGTGGAGAAAAAAACAGAAGGTAGTGAGGCAGTGATTTACTGCATATTTATTATTATATGCAAACTCATGACTACCTAGATAATACCATGTAACTAACAAAGTGAATTACTTTCAAGTAACTATGCAATTACATTTTATAACGTGCAATTTGTCATCTCTCAAGGACTATTAAAATTACATTCTTCCAATCACATATTTACCATTGTAAGAAAAATTCCAAATTCTGGGTTTAAATCTACACAGTCTCCATCAGAAAAAATGAACTGCTTTTTTCTTTCTTTCCTTGCTGTTAAAATAATATATATTTGTTGAGCTGCCACTGACAGGACAGGTAATTCAATTCTGTTAAATTCATCAAAACATCCCCAGGAGCCTGACTGTGCAAGACCTAAAATGGGAAGAAGAATATCTGTTACCTGTTGATATCCTGTCTGAGAACGATCTCCATGCATAGCTACATGTGCAAAGTAGCTATCACATGATAAAAAGCTCCAACCAGCTATAAAGTTAGACCTCAAAATGTGTATTAAGTTTAGGTTGCTATCAAGCTTTAATTTGCATGTGTAGGAGTGTCTTACCTGCAGCTAGGAGCCCATCCGCTGACAGGACTCCCAGCTGCAGGATTGCACCATGCCCAGTGTGAAACCCCCAAGCCCTGGGGATCACAGCTACTGTGATACACAACACTCAAGAATGTATGAAACCGCTGGCCCCACATGGGCCTCCTGGTCCTGGCTGCAACTGAGAGACCCTGCAACTGGTCCCAACTACTCTTCATGCGCAGCTATGACTGGGAGCCCCATCAGTTGTGGGACTCTCAGTCTCTGCAGCACATGGCTCCTGTGGCTGGCAGCCCCCTCAGCAAAGGGGGCTCCGAGCCATGGGAGCCTGTATCCTGTCAATGCAGGAGGAGCCCAAGATTGGATTCCCTCTACACCAGCAGTAAGGCAAGATTGAATCTAATGCATGATCCCACAATCTCACCTCTGCCAGGCATATGTGGCATAGCAGAAGGCATGATTGTGTGGATCACACATTAGATCCAACCATGCCTTTACCTGCTTGTGTAGAGGGGGTTTGGGATCATAATCCCAAGCTCCCTCTGTGCTGGCAAACTGAAAACCAGACTTTGAATGCAGAACTTTGTGAACCAATGTGTATTTTCATAGACCTCTACTTCTATAATGGCAGGATACACAATACCAGGATATTAGAGAGGCTTTCCTGTTTCAGTGTGGATAAACAATGTTTTTACCTCTAAAAAATAATGATCAATGAACGGGATTCCCATGCAAGTGATTTTAACTACATGCTGAGCAGGATGATAGTAGACTATGCTTTTGGACATCTGAAAGCAAGGGGGCAATTCTTACTGACTCATTTCATCTACAGGTGTTTAACACTGTAGATGTGATCAGGACATATAATGTACTTGTAATATGAAGCTAAGTCAGGAGTGGGCAATTATTTGCACTGGAGAACCATTTAATGAGTTTTGGTGAGCTGTTGAAGGCCTGGTGGGGGGGAGATGCCAATTGCCCCTATCCAGGCCACCAGCCACTGCCAGGAGTCTGAGAAGGGAGGGTTGTGCCCTGCACCACTCTGCTCTGCCCCAGCTACTCTGCACCCATCCTCCTCCTGCCTGGCTTCCTGTTGGCACTGTGCAGTCCTGCCACCTCAATCGCCAGCAGCTGGGCCCACATGGGATGGGGCACAATGCAGCACACTGAGTAGCTGTTTTGCCCACCTGCCTGCCAACAATGATGAGCTGCTGATGTCATGCCACACTAGGAAAGCAGGGTAGGCTGTCCTGGGCTGAGCCCCCTTCCATGGCCAGCACAGACTCACTTCCTAGCAGTGCTGCAGTGGCAGCAGCTCATTGCAGTAGGCAGGCGGGTAGGACAGCTACTCAGTACACTGCATTGCACCCTGTCCCATGAAGCCCCAGCTGCTGGCGGCCACAGTGCCAGGACTGTGTAGCCGTAACACCAGTATTATGAGACAGTAAAATTGGGTTTTCCTTGCTTGCATCAAATTTGGGTGAGGACTCCTATAGTGGAAACCTATGGTGACTAAAGTCAACTTAGGGTGATAAAACTTGATAGTGAAAACAGGGTGCAAGTCATTTAGGGACTTATATCCTCTGTGGCAGTTATCATTTTTGTTCGTTGTTTCTCAATATGGTTAATACTGAACATCTTACCTTTGAAGATTCTTCCCAAGCCTCTGAAGTCCATTTGATCAGAACAGTTAAATACTACTACATATTTTCCAAGAGCCTTTCCCATGTCTTTTGTGGTTTCTGTTTTACCAGTTCCAGCTGGTCCTGCAGGAGCACCTCCCATGTTCATTCCTAATGCCTGAGCTAAGGTAATATAGCATCTGCAAATGTTAATTCAAGTTTAGATTTAATTATACATGAAAGAGAGATAAATGCATATGGATATAATAAAAGCAGTAGGTATGAATGATCCTCTTCAACCCTTACATTACATTATAGTTTATTCCAAGAGCAGTCCCACTGATTTCAACATGGCTACTCATGGGATAAGGCACTACTTAATATGAGTGAAAGTGGCAGAATATAGTCTTTAAGTATTAATGTAATAAATACAAATTGTGTCCTGTTTTATTACAGAACACGAGTATTAGATTAGCTGCTACATAATGATTAAAAGGGAACAGTGAACAAGTATTAACGTGTATGACAGAGACAGTTCACTATCATCAACTGTTATTTCTGCTAGTCATTTTGAATAACAGATTCTGCTACTGTGTTCACCCTAAGTAGGACTTTACATTGTATATAGTTACATTAGACTAGATTGTCTTGAACTAAATGCTTAAGCACAGAAGAAAGAGGAACTAAAATATCTTCAGAGCAAATGGGTGGAGAAGGGGGCAGTACCATAGCAAGAGCAGTGCCAGCAATGAACCGGCAACATGCACCCTTGCACTATGGGTGCCAAATCAAATGGAAGTAATGTTACAGAGAAGTATGTAGGGGAGTACTCTATACATGACCTACATCAGGCACCAAAATGCCTGGCTATGGCTCTGGAATGAAGAGAGTCTTGGGTTAGCAGCTCATCATGCCAGCCAGTACATCAGAGCTGACAAAACTCAGGCTGTGTGATATAACCTGTTGCTAGTAGAGACCCACTGCAAATTATTATACTCTTGCCTTCAGAACAAGGAGGCAGCCAGGAGGGACTTGTGCCTCAAACAGAATGGCTTTTGCTGTTGTATCTAAAGGCATGATATGACTCATATATATTGTTCTGAAGTTAGGAGGGATTTGTGCATATATATGGGAAAAACAAGACTATATATTTCTCCCCACTGGTGTATCAGCATAGATGTTCATTGCCAGACAACCTCCAATTTCTGTCCCGTTTTCTTTGTCTTCTTAAATTTCTCCAAAATTCACCCTCTTCTTCGATTTACCATCCATTATTCTTACTTCTGAACTAGCCTGTGAATTTCTGTCATCATATTCCAAATGTACAAGCTTAAAGTTAGGATACTCTAGATATCAGCCCCTCTTTTGTGAGCAAGCATTTTTATAGACAAAACATATATATAGAACAAACAAGCCTAACTTAAAATCATAACACGTACTACAAGATTTGGTAAGATATTCCATGACTGGAATCTGTCTACTGATGGTTATAGTTACTTCAGTAGGAACAGGCAAAGGAGAAGTGAAGGGATGTTGCATTGCTTGTAAAGAATATGTACACTTGCTGCTTGGCCCCACAGGTGTGCCAGATACATTCACGATGAAGATAATAGGAGTAAAAATAAAGAAGATGTCATGGTGGGTCTACTACAGACCCCCAACATCATAAAGAGAAGGATGATGAGGGATTTTTCAAGCAGGCATAAGGAGCACCCAAAATGTATGAACTAGTAAGAATAGAGGAATTTAGCTACCCTGCTATGTGTTGGAAAAATAAAACAGCTACACATAAAATGCCCAACAAGCTCTTGAATCACAGAGGACAATTTTCTTGTCCAGAAAATTGAGGAAGTACCCAGAGAATCAACTATTTCAGATAAGTTTCTCCACAATAAGAATTGGTTGAATGTAAAAGTGGTCAACAATCTGAATGACAGTAATCATGAACAAAAAAAGAATTTGCTCCCAAAGAAAGCAAGATGAGCAAAGAACAAAATAAGTAAGATGAACTTTTGAAAAGCTTATTTAAGCAGACTTAGAGTAGGTAATGTTCCTTGGATTGATAAATT